AAGTCTGAACAGATGGGAAGTAGTTTGAAGGAATTAGAGGAAATGCTGATGGAGTGTCATGTGAACAACCGGACAACAACGAAGTTCCTATATAATATGAAAAGATTACATCTTTATGTAAAAATGCATATTTACAAAGGAAAGATTATTCAAACTTAAGTTTTATGAATGCTTCAGTAATACTGTGTGGTATTGGTTTAGTGAGATCTCCCATCCATCAAAGAGCCAGCCTTTCTGCACCAGTGAAATGGGTTTTTAACCAGTTGGCTGTTATGTAAATGTTCACTGTGTGTGAGCCATAAATAATGTTAATGTACGAAGTTTGTATAATAACTGACAGTCATCACTTGGATGTAATTAAACTCTGAAACTTGCTATATAATCAACGGTAGAAGCCTAGCAGCAAATTAGTTTTCTTGATTTACTTACATTTTGCTGAAAGCACTTTTGTCCAAATGTCATATATTCTGTAAGTACATTTGTACTTCTCAAATTGATTTCAAACCTTTTATTGTTTTTCCTCAATTTTTATCACATGAAGCAACTTCAAAATTTTGAAATTTTAAAAATGATTTTAGAAGACTTTTCTTACGTATGTAATGTGGTTTGGTTGATGTATCCTTCTGAGAAAGTACTCGATCACTTATTTTTGCAAGAAGTAGGTAAAAGATAGTTACATTAACTGATGCTTCATTTAATTTGGATTTTATATTGACATAAAATCACATAATTAATTTGCCATTTAAAAGTGCCCTACAGCCTCTGCAATCATAGAATAATAATTTAGAAATTACTGTTTGGCTGTCTGTGACTTATCATAATTAACTGTCTTCTCAGCATAAAACATAAAAGGGAGCGTACTCAAATATTTTATATTTTATTGTGTTGCATAATATTATCTCACCCAGAAATAGTAGGAAGTATATCTCATATTTCATTGTGATGTAAGTATTTCAGCTGATCTCCAGTTTGATTTCTTTTTAGGGAGAGATTTTTCTTAAAATATGTTCCTATCTTTGGCTCAGCTCTTACAGCTTAGTGCTGGAAATACAGAAAGTGGTCTTTTTAGCAATTTACTGTTGGATTTAAAATGCCATGATCCCATTTTGTTTCGTAACATCACCAAGGCTGAAAAAATAACGGAGAAAGACCCAGGAATACAAACCAATTTCTTGTTATCCAGTAAGGCGGATCTTCTGGATGTCATTAAACTAGAAGAAAGTTTTGACTTTGCTATAATCCTGCTGTTCCTTTTTAAATGTAGTTTCCAAACGCCTAACGTTTGTTCACTGAAATATCGCCATAAGCTGATGTGGTCTCATGTGCTCTTCGTTTATCTTCTGAAGCTTGAATTTTATGATTTAAAATCTACTTTGGCCACTTAAGGAAGAGTAGTATTTTATGCTATTTTCTATGGGAAAACAACTTTGCAGAAATTATTTATTGGAATGTAGGAGCCTTCTTTTGAAATAATTTGAATGGTTACTGTAAAGGTAAAGTATTCTGTCCATTACTGGAAAATAACTTTACATATACCTCCTGTGACTTAAATAAATCATTGACGACGTTTCTCGCAATGTGAATGTGGCATTAAGATTCTTACAGCATTCAACTTCAAGAAGCAGTCCAGTAACGGTATAGACTAAAGATATTATTATATACTATGCTGAGAAAAGCACATCTGTAAAACTGTTGTGTCTTGGTTATTAGTGCTAGGATTTGAACTATCTTTAATCTCATTTGACTTGTTCATCTTCCTTAAGGATCTCCATAAAGATGCACTGAGTATTCTTTTCAGCCCTTAGTTAGGGTTTGCATCAGTGGTCGTAAACCTGCTTAGCGGACAAAGACTCTTTTCCCTTTGAAGTCACTTCCCCAGCTTTTCAAAAGGTCTGCAAGCCGGTTCCCCTAAAACAATTTAGAAAAGTTTGAAGTGGTGCCCCTTAAACCAGCAACAAAATAAAATTTTCTCTTTGCATTATTGAAAACCATGACAATCTTCTGAAGCAATAACAATTTAAAAGCTTTTAAAGAAATCTGTTCTGCTCTACGACCAGCTTTTAAGTTGACCCCATTATTTGGAAAATCAGAGGCTTGGAAACCCCTAAATACTTGACATTCTTATCAAAGGAGTCAGCCTGACTTTTCACAGGACTCCTCTCTTACAGTATTTATTCAAGTCCTAATTTCTTTAAAGATACTGTTCAGATTTCTTCCATTTCTTTTGTGCATTAAAGTGTTTCTTTAGAACCAATCTAATTTAGTAAACAGTTGATATAGTTTGTGAAACACTGATCCTGCCACCTGTAGGTTTATACTCCATTATGTCTGAAGTCAAGTCCAAATTCTAAAAAGACTGAGAGCGTTACTTACATAATTTTACTTTTCTGTGGACTGTGATAAATATATATGCTCAGTTTCTACTTCTAGTTTTCGGAAACTTCTCTCCTACATTTTTGTATCTAGCTTCTGACAGCCGAACATAGGTAAAGCCTACAGTAACGTAGTTGCTGTAAGCAATGTTTGCTATAAGCATTTTGTTTATCTGCACCTCCAAATAATTCATTCAGACGTTGCTTCTTTTAAGTCCTTCTGACGCCAGCATCTTAAATTCATTGCCTCAATAATGTTGTACATTTGAAATGTTTCTGATTTCAAAAGTTTCATTAACACGTGTTGTATTTAATTAGATTAATTCCTTGCAGATCTATGCAAGTATGTGATAAATGCAATTTCTGAAAGCAAAAGAAAGCAAAATAAAACAATAAAACCAGAATTCTAACATTTTGCTAATGTAGGCAGCTCATTTAAAATAAAACAAACCAACAAGAGCTTTAGATGCACAAAGCTGTCTCCTCTTTTATGGCTTGGGGACAACAGGGAGAAAGAATTAGGTCAACAAAATTAAATTGTTACTGGATAGTACTGTTACGATTGCTTTTACATTTTCCCCTAAACCTGCAGATTTGTGGCTTGTCTACACAATGTTCATTTATGAATCTTCTAAGGTGCCTGCCCCATGCTCAGGCAAGGAAAGTTCAGTAGAGCAAACTTTCTCCAAAAGGTTGGTGAGCGTTCATAGGATCAGCCACCTGAGAAATACCTAGAGGTCATTAAGTCTGCCCTTATGCTTCTAATTTGTTGGGAGCCTTTCCTTTGCTTCTGAGCTGTCTGCCATACTTCCTGGGTTTGAGGGTGTTTTGCCAAACAGTATACAAACCAGAAGCAATAGCTTTTAATGATTATTTATTAAGAGATTTGGGGTGATTCAGCAAGTTGTGCCAAAGCATTTTCACATTTTAAATGCTGACAACATATATGCATATGTGTGTGTGTATATGCATACATATATATTTAGCGTGTATGTATATATCTAAGAAGAAACAGATTTATTTACTTTTCAAGATTTTTGTATTGTGGATATAGATTATAGATTGTAACTGCAGAATAAATCAAATTCTGAAAGGTCAGAATCCTTGATTTGATGCTTGGTCATAGATTATGACCTTTTCTGAAACGCCATTTGATCGTGGCAGCTACACGGACACTCTGGGAGGTGTTGTAAACGGTCTGAGTGAAAATATAAAATATTGAGGGCAAGCTAAGCTTTTACTTGTGCAAGCCCAGATCTACACTTCTTTTCCATAGAGGCCTCTCACTGTACATGTGCAGCGTCTGGGTAGCTACCTGTTTTAATGGAGTTCCATAATTTCCAATAAGATCCAGTGCCAGTGTTGCTAGTACTGTTAAGGCTCTACATGTACAAGCTAATGACATTATGCTGGTTTTATCTTTTGAAAGGTTACAACCCCAAATATAATTTGAATGTTGCTACCTTACTAACCAGTGGAGTCAGTTGGCCCTATTATTACTCTGTCTCTTTGCAAAACCATCTCCCGTTTTTGAAATAAAAAAGGTTTTATTTTACCACTGCTTTACTGCCTTGTTGGTATCTCACATATCATCAGTTATTGTGAAGGGAAATTATTTCCCCGCTGCTTAAAAACTCATCTAATCCTTTTTAAAACTACACGATAGCATTGCCCAATATACATACTTTAGAGTTTAAAAGCTTCATAAAATGGTATGAATGAACTAATTATGCGGTAATATAAAAATAACATTGTGATTTCTATGAAATGCTAGCATTCTTGAAGTGGGTGATCCAGCGAATGACCTGTGAGTGAAGTTCTAAAAGTATTTAAAGAGCTTTACAGCATTTGCTTACCCTTTCTCTGTCTTGACCTGGAGAATACATATTTTTTTTCCTTCCAATGTGCCAGTTGTACAATTTCTTTTACTTTATGGTATCCATGTATGTTTGATTACAAAGAGAATCTCAGAAAAATACAGTTTTATTTGTTCTTGTTGCAGGGAAATGTCTAATAGGAGCAGCAGTAATTAATGTTGGATTTGGGTGTTTTGATTTTGCAAATTCATCTGAAATTCATTCTGATTATGGGCCAAACTCCACATTCTTACAAGGAGCTAGACATAAGGTTGAGGTTTCAACACCGTTACTCGATTAAAATAAAATCAACGGATGTTTTACTTCATCTTTGAGCACTATAGGCGTCTCCTCTCAGTACCTGTCAGAGTGACACTTGTGTTTACTTACGCCTGTTCAAGGAAAAGACAATAATTGACCACGATCTCTTCCTCCACAAAAAAAATTAAGAAAAAAAAAGGGGGGGGTGGGGAGATGGAGGGAGGGGAAATGCAAATCTGTGTGCTCTGACTTCTGTTTGTTTGTAACTACAACACCTAACTTTTATATTGATGTGCACTAGTAAATGTGCAGGTTGAATTCCTATAGTACACCGCTGCTGTACTACGTAGATAGAAGTACCAAACAACCATATGCAAACAGCAGATAGAAGTGATTGGTAGGGAACATGAACTCAAAGAGCAAGGAAACCAAAGATGCTTCAGTGATTGAAAGCAGTGATTTGAGAAATAGATTATAACAAAGGACTGCTTTTATTGTTTTTTCATTGAAGGTGATTTTGCAACTCCGCGAGCTATTTTGACAGGACATGACTATGAGATCACCTGTGCTACCATTTGTGCTGAACTTGGCCTGGTAATAAGTGGTTCAAAAGGTAAGGTAGCTGTCGTCATTTCGTTCTGTTCATGGAGCTATAATCCTAATGCAAAAAGGAATAGAGTCTCAGATGGCAGATTTTGTTAACTTTATGGTGGCTTTGTTTCAAACCTTTTTTTAGTTGCTGTGGAATTTGAAACCTCTTTTTTAAACACATTATAACTGAGGATTATTCAGACATTTACAAGAAGAGGCAACCACAACAGTCTTCCTGTTACAGCCCACTGATTGCTATTCCTTTTTGTTTGTTTATCCAGTGTAATTGCATATAGCATACAGTAGGATACAGCTCTTGACTGCCAGGATGGTGAAGAATATTTGTTATGGATAACTTCTAAGAAAGGGAGGCAAAAATTAGTTTTAGGAGAAAGAGAATGTGCTGTTTTGTTTGTTTGATGAGGGGTATATATAAACTCCCAGCTAAAATTTGTAATTCTGTTCAGGCTCTTTGAGCTTAGCTGCAAAGCCTGTAATACGCCCAATTTGTGTTCTCAAAGACCTGCTTTTATTGTTTATATTGTTTATAATTTGTTTATATTGTTTATCATTTTCCTGTTTGTGGGTCCACACTTATTTTTAAACTGGAAAATCCTTACAATTAAGATATTTCTGCTTTAGTGTTTCCAAAATTTTAAAAATGATTTCGAAAAGACACTTTTTCGAAAAGACACTTTTTCAAAGTTGGGTGTACTCACTTTATGCACCTGTGCATGTTTCTGTTTTATTCATGTGAACATCTGTGGCTTACATTGAAATCAGGTATTTGTCCAAATGTATTGAAAAGCAAATATTTAGTGGATCATGTATAGGTTAAAATCTTAATATGAGAATATATAACTTTAGAGTACCTCCTCACACACCTCTGTGTGTCTTCGTATTTTGAAAATCTCATTTTAGGATTCAGTACATTTCTTTTTGTGCTCTCAAAATTAACTGCTACCAGTTTTAAAAGAAAATCCACAAAAGAAAATCTGTTAGGTCTCTAACTAGTTTTGATAGGAGCTCTAAAATACCTTAATACAAAGCTTTTAAGGGATAAGCTGTTCATTTTACTCTCTAGCACCCTTCAAGTCATAAGCTATCCATTTGAACATGGTAAAATCATAATGTATTGTAAGTGATTACCTAAGTAGAAGTCATTACTTGTTATTTGATATATGATGTCTTTAAATGAGCATGTAAATCAATAATTAGAGATTTTATTTTGTCTCATTAGAAGGACCATGTCTCATACATTCTATGAATGGAGATCTACTGAGGACATTAGAAGGTCCTGAAAACTGTCTGAGACCAAAACTTATTCAAGCTTCAAGAGAAGGCCACTGTGTCATATATTATGAAAATGGCCTCTTCTGTGTATTCAGTGTGAATGGGAGACTTCAAGCCACTATGGAAACAGATGACAAGATAAAGGTGAGTGTACTCAAATGTGTGCTGAGGCCTGGTGGTTCCAGCATCAGGAAAAGCTATCAGTGTTGAGTTGCATGGAGAGTCTTTCTGTAGCCAGGCCATAGAAATATACGGTACTAGACAATAATAGCAGCATTCTGAAAAAATTGTAATTAAGGGGACTAGGTACTCCTGATAGCACTGGTTTTAATTTTAAAATAACTCTGTTCCTATAGTAAGGAATATCCTTTAGGCATTTCCGTGAACTGAAGAATACAAATATTACTAATTGCTGACCAGGAGAAGCCAGGCTACTTCTTTACTTTTGAGTCTGAAGGCAGGAGGTCGTTGGACATGATGGTTTGGATGCTGGCTTTCCATTTTGGCATCTCTATCTACATTCCTTCATCTTAGCTTGAGATAGCATTCCTGAGCTTCAGGAAGTTTATAGGCATATGTCTACATTTCAACTGAGGTTTTTTTTTCATTTTCATTTTTTTTCATTTTCATTTTTTTTCATTTTCAACTTTGGCATTTGCTGAGCAGGGAGCTAGGTTCCACATCTTTAGCTGCAAGAGACATGGAGCAAGTCCAAAACTATGCAGGAGGCATTTTAAGCTTATGGTTTTATGGAAATTATTTGATAATACAAAATGCAGGTCTTTTGACAGTTCCTGTGAAATAGTACCTATGAAGCAGAGCAGAACCTGCCAGCTATACTTCAGTGAAGCAGAAATGTCAAAAGAATACTTTCCTTGAATTAAAAATATCCCACTTTTTCCTTGAATGAGAAAAAAAAGGAAAGGGAAGGGAAAGAAATGAACACACATTACCAAATCTAGTAGAAAGTTACGGAATGCAGCAGAGACATGAAGCAAGATCACCTTGCTGGGCCAGCATTCAGGCTACCTGAATTATCTGAAGTTATGGTCTCTATGCCAGTAGTTGTGGTCTGAGAGGCACAGACCTCCAAGCTGACTTTCATAATCTGATGGAAGAGCCCAGCTGCTGGGATTCCCAGTGTTCTCTTTAGTTGAACACTCAAAAATTTTTCCTTTATTTGGATTAGACATTTCAGGAAGAAAAAGCTTCTTCACCCTCATGTTCGTTTTACAGGATTACTGAAATTCTTTCAGATGTGCAAAATTGTGAGCATTTTAAAATTTGCACCTGTTCTTCTCTTGACTCTGTTCATATTAATTCGTAAGATGAAAGAATGTGTCAGTATATTTGAAAGAATTTTGTTCTTTATAATTTCCATTTTATAATTTACACTGAACAGTGAATGCTCCATTACCACCGAAGTCTCCAGTGTAGTTCAGTGTATTCCACTTAAAAACTTGTAAAATTCTGCCATGTCCTATACTCTGTTAATCCAGCATCCCTGTGTTTTTAACATGTCAGATACATTGGTGGCAGAACATGGAGAAATAACTCTCTGTGTGGGTCTCTTCCACAGTTAGAGTGCTGTCTGCAGGGGTGAGAGGGCATTTGAACGTTGGATGCTATGGCAGCCACTAGTGTGGATTTGAGGCTGGGGAAATGAAGTAGGAATGTGTATATTTCTGTCCCAAGCCATTTTTCCAAATTAATGTAGATTCTTGCTTCAATTCTCTGAAATTGCACCTTTGGCTGTCCTTGTACAAATGCTTTTGAGATTTTCAGCCTAGCCTTCATCCCAGCTCTTTCCATAAAGCAAGTACATATCATGGTGTTTTCTCTTTTTACAATAATAATGTTGATAATCTGTCACTTTCAGTTGTGATTATGTTGTCAGCTAGGCCAGCAAATCTGTAAAATATCTAGAAATCCCTTGCCGGCTAAAACAATTTCTGTAGTGTTTCAGTCAGTACCCACAGCTGTAGGAATGTTGCTAGAGGCAATGGAAGTTCTCCTCTCTGTGGGCCAGAATTACAGATGTACCAGGGGTTTTGGTTTTATTTTGTTTTGTTTTGTTTTCTTTCTCTCCCAGTGGTCCCAGTTGGGCTTTACGCTTAAACAATCTACAGCGTCTTTCCCAGGGCTTCTGCACTATATCATGTTAGAAGGCAAGTGGCAACGGCATGATTAAAGTAGGGGCGTTTAAAATGAATAGTACCTACCCATGGGCTGTGCTGACAAACACTTCTCATTGGTTTTTGCTTGAGGAGGATAGAAAAGGGAAGGAAAAGGTCATAAGTGTTGAATCTGTAATGTAAAATTCTAATTTCTGTTTTCCTATGTCATTATGGACCTGTATTTCAGAATGTTATTGACAAAACTAGCAGTTTTCAGTAGTGATGTCTGCAACAATACTCTGATTTTCTTTCTTGTATTCTTGTGCTGGAAAACTGCTAGAAAAAAATTCAGACGCTCTGGGGAAATTCAAAGTCTAATCAATGCCTTCCACCTGTTTTTGTTTTAAATACTGTATTGCTCAGTGGAACTTAGGCATATCGCAGTACATCTACCATGTAATGTTTAGATATCTTAATGAATAACTTAACTCTAAATAGTCTGCTTGTTCTGAGAAGTAAAGTTATTTTACCCTAAACAAAGCCTGTATGCTGTTTCACCCAGAGGAACCAATTTATTTTCCTTTCCTGAGTCTGTTTTGAAATGTGGAAGTGCCCACAAGACTCCTGCTGCTGTAAGCCAGGGCTGTCACAGTGTCAGCTCTGCCTTTTTATAAAGCACTGCCTTTCAAAAACCTGAGATGTTAAAAGGGATTTGGGCAAAGTTTTGAGACTTTCCAAGGAATACAAGTCAGAAATGCAGCTTTTAGAGCATTGCTGAAATTGTGCGCTTTGGGGATTATTTGAGATTCTGAAGCTCATGTTGTGAGAAAGATTAGCTGCAGAGTTGTTTCAGTTTCATACCTAGTAGAATCGTAGAAAAACTACGCTGGGGAAAAGCAGAACAGTAAAATTGATTCATGTCGTCTTCTATACCAGTTGGAGTACTTGGGAGTAAAAGCATCCTTTCGTTTGTTAAATCTTGAAGGGCATGTCATGAAACTGAAATGTTGACAGGGTGACCTTTTCTTCCATTCATTCCTTCATTCATATATGTGTGTGTGTGTGTGTATATATATATAGGCAAGTGGCTGAGAAATTTATTAATAAACAATAAAAATAAATAAATCAACATCTTGTCTTCATGACAAGCCAATGACTTAGTAAAATTGCATAGGTATTAGTAAGGGTTCAAAGCCTATACTTTATTTAATCAAAAGATCACAAAACCCACTGCATTTTACAGGTAGTGGAAGAGTTAAAGATTAATGGCCTTAATTTGCCTTTTAATATAGCATTTCTTCAGTAAAAGCCTCAAGTATAAAATTCAAGTGAACCATGACCGTAAGGTTAATGGATTTTCATCAGCTGAATTTTATAAGTGTAGCAAATAATTATTTGTCACGGTCTTCATTGTAATTTGAAAATACCCTTAGGAGACTGCCATCGCTGTAGAGAAGAAAACCACCCCATATTGATTTTTGCTTCTAATGAATAATCTTTTTAATAATTGTGTGTGGTATGTTAGATCTCATGATCATCTACTCAGTGCATGCAAGTTCTAGATAATTTTCAGAGTCTTATCTCAGTTTGTTTTCTACCCCTTTCTTACTGAGTTCCTACACTCTTCCAAGAGGGTCTTCAAGAGAGCTTTCAAGCTCCTGGGGACTGTGCTTTGGGAGGTGCTTGGCATATTTTTGTAGGCTGGCAGAAGCAATCACAGAAGCAATTTATGGTTGGACCATTTGTTTTTGGGGGGGAGAAGCTTCAGGTCAGAATACTTATCTCTAACCTTGGTTAGTATTCAATTTTAAATACTTTGATACGGTTGGAAAACAACTCCACATATTCTGCTTTATTGTGTCTAAATTTACATGTATGTGTTGTCATCATAATTCAAAACATCTGGAATAGGTTTATCAACTGGGTTTTTTCAGTGTTATAATTTTGTTTACAGTCTATGTTTGTATTTCAATTACATTCATTTCAAAGTTAATGTCTGAAATAAAACTTCAGCCGTGTGATTCATTCTGATTACTTGCGAGTTGCAGCAAACACTCAAAGTTTATAATATAGTATAGAAGCTCTATCTTAATGTAAGTGTTCCACACAGGATATATTTGGCATCATAGTAGTAGAGTAGAACAATACAAAAAATACAGATATGCAATATGTCTGACCAGTTATTGCTGTGCATGAAGCAGTATCTTATGTACACTGTATATTTTGGTTTCTAGACTTGTCAGCAGTCTGTATAAACACTTTAACGTTGCATGAACGTAACATTTTTGTGTGTTAGTTTCTCTCATTTTTGTGGTGCATGCTCTTTAAGTTCGGTATACTAAAAACCACAACAAATTCCTTTTCCCAAGGAATTTAAAGTCACAGTGTGTTACAAGTTTTGCATATTGAAAAACTGTAGAAGGCGAGATTGCAAGTGCCAAAATACTTGCAGACGTCAGCAGAGAAAGATATGTTTGCAAGACCCTGCCTTCGGTTCTTTCTGCTGTTTCCTAAATTTAAATTTTTGAGCTGAAATTTTGCTTGTACATAAACCTCTTGAGGCAATTTCCTTGCCTTCCAGTGACAAGGTATTAGTTAAAGTGGATCAATCTGTTTGTAGAACGTGTGTGTTTGGCATTTAAAAGCCATTGCTCTAAATATTCTCCATGCTTACACTGTTCTGTTGAAAAGTTTTGTGGCTCCCTGCCTTGGGTCAGGAAGCTGAAATTTATGATGAATTAGTCCTGGTGTGAGGGATGTGTATTTTGTTGAAAAGCTGCCCAAATTTAGCTGATTCACAAATCTCAGGTTAAATGCATTCAGCAGATAATGCTTAGCATCTACATTCTGTACTGAACATCTGTAGCCCAGGGGTGCGGAGTTTTCCCCTGCAACCAATCACCCCCTACAGTGAGGGGCACAAAAATGCCACGGCAAGAAACGTGATGAGGTGATCCTGGACGAGGGAGGGGACGGACTGATGGGGAAGCAGAGGAGAAAGAAGAGCGGAATTGAGGATAGAACCAGGGACAGAATGAAAGAGATGTTTGCAAGAGTGACAGGAACAGAGAAGCAGAGATAGGACTGCAGAAACTTGTCAGAGAGTGGGAGAAGACAAGAAGAGGCAGAAAGGAGTGAAGAAAAAACAGGAATTGGGAGTAGGAGCAATGGAGTGAAGGATTAGGTAGGATCAGGAGTTTAATAATAGAAAATAGTGCTTCATAGTATCAAAGATCCTTATTTTCCTTTTGATAACAGCAAATCATCCTGCAAACAACTAGCAAAGTTGTTTCTCACTGTTCTGTGTGCTCAAATGAAGAGGACCATAGGCTGCTGCTGTGCCGAGTATTGCATGCAAAAATAAAAGTAGAGCAGAGAAGGGAAAAACCGGGTCAAGCTGGGGAGCAAAAGTCAGAAAAAGAACTGAGAAGAGGAATCTGGAAACAGGAGGAGAGAGCAGAGGAAAAGGTTTGGGCTTACAGGAGTTATTAATAATGGTCCAAACTGGTTTTAAGGGTCTTGATCTCGCTGGTAGCTTGTGCTGATGTCATTCCACATGACAGAATTCATTCAACTTTTTGGGTTTGTTTGGGTTTTGGTTTTTTTTCTTTTCAGTAAACCCTACAAACCGTTCAGTTTTCCCATATAGTTGGAGGATGAGGATATAAAATCAGGACCTGGTATTGTCTACTGCTTAAGTTTCTTTTCTGCGTGGCAGCAGGACAAGGTCTTCCTTTCAGAGGGAGATTTGTAGTCTTCAGGATTACTATAGATGTAATTGCTAAGACCCGTATTGAAAAGATGTGTAAGATCTTGGTATTGCTGTGAGAAAAGTCAGTAATGGGGTCTTCCAGGGGTTGGTGTTGGGAACTAGTTTTATTCAGTCTTTTCTGAGGTGGGGAATGCGGAGGGTCTACAGAGTGATGAAGGCAATGGATGAGGTGAATGCAGAACTGTTACTTGGGAAACCCCACAATATGAGACCTATGGGCTACTCATTGAAACTAGTAGGATCACTTCAAAACAGATGGAATTATTTTGCATTGTAATGAACTTCTGCCACCCCACAGCACCCCGGAAGGCATCAGCAGGCTCAAAAAGAGATTAAGAAAATTAATGGGCAGCACGTCCATACATAGATACTAAAGGGAATGGACAGAGATATACTTTCTGATACTCCTGACCCAGTGATTGTGGGTGCTGCAGACCAAAGGGGAAGGGACTGTAGAGTGGCCAGCCTCACAGCCACTGTTGGTGTTACAGCACTGGGCTAGATGGATCGTGGTCTGTCTGACCCCATAGGGTATCACTTGTTTTAATAAAATTTCGATTTTGGTTCTCTTAAACCACATTTTGGCTTATTTAAACTGGCAAAAATCCCTCTTTAAGAAATATTTGTCATGCTTCCAATTCTCTTAATATCTGATGGTATCACCTGGTATAGTCATCAGGTAACCGAGGAAAGTTGCTGTTCTTCCAGGTACTCAGTATATATCATGATTTTTCCAACAGCACACAAGAAACATCAAAATAGATTGAAGACACCTGTTTCAACAAGTCTTCTCTGTGAAAACCAATGATATCCAATCTTTCTGCATGATCTGGATCCCAAATAAAGATTTCAAATGTAGATTTGCCATCAGTCCCCATGATCCGTGCACAATCAGGGTATAAGTCATTGAATTTGTCACAGGCAGAATCAAGATAGATGAGGAAAGGAAGCACAGTCTCTATTAAGAGAGGTGGATCATTATCTGATTAATCCAGAGCAGGAATCCAAAACCACTAGTCTAAATTAATTCTAGTAATTTGTATAGCATTTCAGTTCCCTCCATCACTCAGCCCTTTGCCAGAGAGAAAAGGAGGATAACTTCTGCTAGGCTAGTATTAAAGACCCTTGGGGGAATGTCAGGTACTATATTTTAATGCCAGTGCTGCTGGATCTTGTAAATCTAGCTAATTAGAAGAGTAAATTTCTTTAGCTGACCTCATATTAGATCTCTGGAATATGGAATAAATCACAGGTGAGGTAAAACTGAACTAGCCACATCTAATGTATTAAAGAGACTTGTGCAACACAACATTAATTCCAGTGCTGAGTAGAATAACATAACAATAATGTTGCTTCCCAAAAGCTTGTATTGCTATCAAGTATCCCTAGACATTCAGCTGTCAATGTAAAACTTTTTATGAAAGTAAAAGAAGGGGAATAAAAGCAACATGTATTTATCTGACAAATATTCATGTGATTTCCCCTTAGGCAATTCAACTGAGTCGCGATGGACAGTATCTGCTTACAGGTGGAGACAATGGAGTTGTCATGGTGTGGCAGATGTGGGACCTCAAGCAGCTTTTTGCTTACCCAGGGTGTGATGCTGGAATCCGATCCATGGCCCTGTCGTATGACCAAAGGTTAGAGCACAGTCTGGTCTTCACAAGAATTTCAGAGAATATATACTTACAATTAAATTATATTTTTCTTTTTCTGCTGACTTTGATTTTCTGTAGATCACAGATCCTGGTGCATATATTGATAATTCTGTGCATACATAAGTTTCTTTCTAACATGTCATATTTAGGGCAGATAATCTTTTTACAGGATTTCAGCTCATGGGGGAATGAAGAGTGATTCAAGAAATCTTACTTTGGCAGACTTTCAAGACAGGTTGAGTTACTGACCTGTGCCAATATACAGTGTGGTCGCGTGGAGGTAGAAGGTTACATACGTGCTTTTCATGTTTCTTCTTTCACTTACGACACAAATCACATTCCTAATTCCTCACCTTTATGTTAAAAATGGGGTAGTTGCACAATAAGGTCCCCTCCACGCATCCATATTTTGCTAAAGCAAATACTCATTTTAATTTCTAGAAAAGTTACTTTATGAACATAAAGCATGACCTTCCTTGCAGATTCCTTCTACTGAAGGCAGTTAGTATTTTACTGCTTTTTTACATTACACTTTCCGATGCAGCTGTACTTTCTCTGTTTTTATCACAAAAGTATTGCTTGTTTATAAAATGGATGTTTGGCATTTCATTTGTACACTTTTAGCTTGCGGGCTAGAATTTTGTTTGCTTTGGTGTATTTGCTTAGTGGAGTTCCTGTGTACTTTTCAAGCTGATTTGGCTCCTAAATCCCTTAGGAGTGTCTACGTTGTGCAGTAAAGCATATTGCTGAGACTCTTAACCTTCCGCTTACTGAAGTCCATACTGAATACTTTAACACTTTTTCCCGGACTACATTTCTAAAACTTACATAAAAAGAACTTAAAAAAATCCAAGCCAGCAAAATCTGTGGACCTCAATCAAACACTCAGCAACTTCTTGTTAAGCATAATTACAGGTTATAAGCGTTTTGGAAGAAACAGTTTTCCATTTAAAAGCCCCAGCTGTTGAAAATATTTCAGAAGTTGGAGTTACAGCTGTTGAATTTTAGACCTCTGAAATGTATGAAGTTTTGCATTTAGAGAATCTTTAACTGTAATTAATGGCACGGCAACATAATCTTCACGTGTCAATAAACTGAAATTTAATATGGACATCTATAAATTTGCCCATGTGCTCAAGGTAGGAACCTATTCACTTTGGGTTTGAAGACACAGAAACTCAGAAGAGATTTACTCAGAGTATTTTCCTGAGTAATTACTGAGTAATTACAGGTAATTACTCAGAGTAATTTATTCGGTATGCATGAATGTATGTGTTTGAGTGACACTGTGTAAAAAGACATTTTAACCTAATACAAAAACAATCAAAATGCTGCTCTTGAAATGAAATAGTATGATACTATCGAAATGCAATGTTTTGATGATCTCATATTTAGTCTTTGTTTTGAAGGAAAAATTACAGCTTTTTACTAGGAATTTTTTTTTTATTAATTCTGAGGCTTTTTCCTAAAATGCCAGAATTTTATATGTCTTCATACTTTTGATTTTTGTCAAACTTTAATGTGAGACACTAGAAAAGACGATACAGAAACTCTTGTAATTGTGCGCTATGTCAGGGTCATGGCCTTTCAAACAGATCTAAATGATCTCTAGTAGCAGGCCAAGGGTAAGGAATTCAGAAAGAAAGAGTGCCTCAGTGGGAAAGCACAGTGATTGCTTTCAGGAACTTCCAAAACAATCAAAGCTTTCAGATTGCTTTCAAACCCAAACACTAACATTTCCAGCTGAAGTCCCGTGCCCACATCCAGTTCCTTCACGTAGATCATGTGCTTATATGGGGGAAGCAAAATTGAAATGAACGCTCCTCCTAGCCTTCTTTCACTTGGCTGCTTCACCAGGGCTTCATCTCACTCCAATACTCCCCCCCCAAAACCAAGCAAGCAAGCCAAGAAATAATCCCAGGAAATCTGAAGTGGCCTTGCAGGACAGCGATGCTGGTAAACAGTTCTGTTGTCTAACTCGCCGGCCATATAAACCATTGTGTGGTGTTTTGTACGCTTTCTGATCCATAAATCTGTCCCAGTTGGTGCAGATGGCAGTTTTATTCAAATCCAGCTTGCTGGAGCCCTTGGAAGCCCGAGATGGGAGCCCCTAAAGCCTGACTTTTCTGGTATGTGGAGCACTTCCAGCTCCAGCTGTCTTGGGTGCAAGTTGGTCATTGCCCTGGGTTCTTGTGCCTGTATTGATGTAACTCTTTGGTGTGGTGACTCATGTATCTGAACGTGAGGTGGTTCACTGACTAATCTGGTCTTGTGCTTTCCTCAGGTGTATAATGACTGGCATGGCATCTGGGAGCATAGTGGTTTTCTACAACGACTTCAATCGCTGGCACCACGAGTATCAAACCAGATACTGATCTTCCCTGAGACGGAGATGAGCACTGATGTGGGCAGCTGTTGTCAGAAGGAAATGGAACGCAGCACGCCGCCCTCGGTGTCTGGCCCCAGCATTGCTCCTTATAAATAGCTGTATTACATCTGAATGTAACTTAAATCTGCTGGAAGAAGCAACCTATTTTTTAAAGTTAATTGCTATTTTTGTAGACCTTGCTTGACTTTTTTGGGGGAAGGGCAAAGAAGCAGAAAAATGGCTGCTGGGTTCTGTAGTTAAAAATCTATATTTTTAGTCATAATGAGAAGTCTATTTTGATGCCTGTATGTAAAAGAAACCTAAAGTAAAGACGGTTAAAACTCACATTCTAGCTATATTATGAAGAAATGGATTTTCCGTCTGAAGCTTTATCTATAACCTTGAGGAATATATGATTTTAACGTAATGGAAATGAATGATGATGTTTGGGGAATTTTAATCTGTGCTATCTGTACCACACTTTGTCTCGTACTTTTCCAAATGATTGTACTACATCGGCACTGAAGTTTCTAGCAATCAATAGTAATATTTAAATTATGGTTAATGTAATTTTAAACTTTGCAAATCGTTTCCATCAATGTTCCTATTCAAGCATGTTTCTAGGCCTAGCCAATTAGTTCCTTTTTAGTTGTATGTTTTGTGCAGTTAAGAGAGAGAAATTGGGAACGGAGCTCGTGTTACATCATGTGAGAATCCTTCGAGTTTCTCCCTGGCATCTCCTTCAAAGCGCACCAAAATGTGGCTTGTTCCTCAAAATCAGAAAGGCTATTTTGAAGACTTTAGACTCAAATTAGAAACCCACAGAGGCAGGTATTTTTTTAATAGGTGCAAGCACCAGAGCACACTTCTGCAGGTTGACTGTGACAGCTCGAAAAGGGCAGGTGGTCGCTGGTGGCCCGCTGTGCAGCAGCACGAGCGCCAGGCTTGGGGGCGACTCTGTGTCCCCAGAACCAGCCCCTGCCATACCGCAGCACACCCCATACTCCTTTTCTCCTCAGAGCAACAATATCTTTTATATTTTGCTGTCACCAAATCCAGTCAGATCCTGCCCAATCTTATTAAGTCATCGATTTCTTTTAGGAAATGAAAAATAATTTATACTACGGAACAATAAGTTATTTTGGTGTTGCACTAATCTACTTTTCTACAAGATTGCTGTGCAGAACTCTGTGGAAATATTTGTGAACAGAACTGTTATTGTTTTGTAAGTCTGTATTGCATAAAAATCTCCTTTGTATGTCGTGATCTATATGAGTTGAAATTTACATTCCATATCCGTATCGATGCATACATTGCTCTAGCTGCCTACTAGAGGAGTTCCTGGTTTTTCTAAGCATTTAAGTACTATCTCTTTCGGTAAAGATTTGGGATGAGAAAATTCAGTTTGAGTGAAGAAATTAAATAAAATTACATTTGTAATTGAGAGCTTCTGTGGCGTACTGGGTTCTTGTGCCTCAATGTATGTTCGCAACAGGGGAAATAGGTGCAGTGGCTGAGGCATTTACAGTGCGCTCGGTGTTTATGCCACGGTGACTCGAGTTTTCTGTGCTTTCTACATGTTTATACTGAGATGGTTATGCTGATATCGGTAGAGTTACCTTTTTATGTTTTGTGTAGCAGAAGGATGGTGTGACTAAGCGAAGGCTGTGGTTGTCATGCCTGTGGTAAGCATCCAGTACGTGGAACAGCAAGATTTGTTATGCAAAAGTTGTACTTCCCACTTCCTTGGCTTCAACCACATCCATAGCCTTGTAGCAGAAGATTTTGAGGGGAAATCAGGATGCTCTTGGAGTGCAATTTGCATTTTTCTCAAGCCAGGGGGAGGGTTTCTAAGCTAGATGAAGGTTAAAAAAAAATCCAGACAAACATTTTGTCAAATGGAAATCCTGAAAGTCTTCTCTTATGATCTCCTGCTGACTTAGGAAACACTTTGTTATTGATAGAAGTAATAGTTTCTGATCTTAGAGCCAAAATATTTCATGGGGAGTTAGTTTGGTAGAGTGGTTGTTTTGGAAAGGACCCTATTGATCGGGAGATGCGTTCCCAAACTGAAAGCATGGCTGTATCGGTGCGTGCCATCCCGAGATGCATCCCGCCGGTGCATACCGATGGGCAGCTCTGCGACGGTGCCGAGTACTCCTTGGGGAAGCAGCAGCAAGGGTGCAGCGCGGTGTTTTGCACATCATGAGTGCTGCAGCCCTTCTGTGGAAAGGACATCTTCACCGTCTGCTCCGTGAGCCGGCCTGTGAAGACACCCCCCATTCTGGGCTGCTCTGCTGGCGGCTTTGGTGAGTAGGACATACCCCTCCTTCCGCGGGCAAACGAAGGGACCTCGGGCACCGCCCTGGGGGGCCAGGCTTGCACTTGGGATCTCACCTTTGCCTGAACTAGTCCACCTGTTTGTGATGTGGTAAAAAAGGGTTAAGTTTCTAACTCTTCAGGTATTTGTTAGCTATTCAGGGCAGCACCTGAGTCAAATGGATCTTCTGAAACCGGTTTAATCAACAGGTGCCAGGCATTAACCTGCAGCTGGGCCTCAGCTAGCTCTTACTTGCAGAATATTCCTGAAACGAGGGAGTCGAGTCCTCTATTTCCTCGAAATTCAGCGGGAGCATTTACAAGCAGCATTTTTTTATGTGATGGTCCGGGCTTTCTTCTGTTCTGGTAAGTCCAAACAGACGTGGTGGCAGCAGCTGTAGTTTATGGCAGCTGGTAAACAGCATTTGCTGCTGCTGAGAGCAAGGCTGGGCAGCAGCAGCAGCACTGCAAGTTTGGTTTCTGGGGATTTAAATACTTTGTGCAAGTAGTTTGAAATCCCTTCTGTTTTGTGAAAATTGCTGATACAAATGCTGTAGAGTCTGACAAGAGATGATGGTGTGATCAGGCTGGTGGTTTCTCTGAAGGAAGTTTGTGTTGTGGTGTTACTGCAAGCAAAGTTAAATGGATGCTGTAATACTTTTGAGAATATTTCTTCAGTTCTTGGCTGTGTTGTGCTGTGTGTTATCAAAAAGCCTCTACACCTGGAAATCGTGCCTGGTGCAAAGTCTGTGTATGTATTACTGTGTCTGGTCCTGACATACTCTTGGTAGTCCTCCACCTATCTGCAGCACTTTGTTTCTGCTAAAGATTCCCACTCTGCTGGTTTAGCACTTAGCAGAATAGTGTCCGAAAGAGCTAATCTGATACGAAGATAATAGAGAGAGCTATCTGTGGGTGTTCTGCTGATGGAGAGTGTTATTTACTAGGAAAGGGAGAGTTGAGAATCATAGAGTCATTTAGGTTGGTTGGAAAAGACCTTTAAGATCATAGAGTCCAACTGTTAACCTAACCCTGCCATCCCACCACTAAACCATGTCCCTAAGCACCTCATCTATCCTTCTTTTAAATGCCTCCAGGGATGGGGACTTGACCATCTCCCTGGGCAGCCCATTCCAGTTCCTGACAACCCTTTCTGTGAAGACATTTTTCCTAATGTCCAACCTAAACCTGCCCTGGCGCAACTTCAGACCATTTCCCCTCATCCTATCGCCCGTTACGAGGGAGAAGAGGTCGACCCCCACCTCACTACACCCTCCTGTCAGGCAGGTGTATAGAGGGTGATCAGGTCTCCCCTCAGCCTCCTCCAGAATAAACAACCCCAGTTCCCTCAACCGCTCCTCATCAGCCTTGTGCTCCAGACCCCTCACCAGCTTTGTTGCTCTCCTCTGGACATGCTCCAGCACCTCAATGTCTTTCTTGTACCGAGGGGCCCAAAACTGAACACAGCATTTGAGGTGCAGCCTCACCAGTGCAGAGTACAGGGGCACGATCACTTCCCTCCTCCTGCTGGCCACGCTATTCCTGATACAAGCCAGGATGCCATTGGCCTTCTTGGCCACCTGGGCACACTGCTGGCTCATTCAGCCGGCTGTCAACCAGTACCCCCAGGTCTTTTTCTGCCAGGCAGCTTTCCAGCCACTCTTCCCAAGCCTGTAGCGTGGCATGGGATTGTTGTGACCCAAGTGCAGGATCATTGTATAAGCCAACTCATTAAGGACAGACAGATGTGTGCGCTGGAAATTATGCTGTATTGCATAGGAATAGACAAAAGGAGGTTTTCAAACTGTGGCACTTGCTGTTTACTGAATGTTCATATCTCAAACTTTGTCCATTTGCTATTTTCTTCAAGTTGTTCTACTGTTTTTCTTCCCACTGTCGCTTTGTTCACGGTGCGTTGTGAGCTCTGAGCTGCGGCGGGCTGTAGCGCACCTGAGTAGCTGCGGGGTTAGAATTTGGTGTGAGTATGGATACAGCCAGTAACAGACAGATGACTTTGCAGAGTGCTCGCACATTTTTCTTTGTGTCTGGTTTATACTGTGAGCGAGGGATCCTTTTTCAAGCAAGCCCTGGTAGCTGCAAAACCAGAACCTGACCATTCCAAACAACAGAGCTCGCGTCCTTTTAAGGCAAAGTGTTTAAGCATTCAGCATTTAAACACTCTAAACTTCAGCATTTCTTACTGGTTGGCAAATATTATTGTGGGGAGAAGGGAACAGTTGCTGGTACTTCTCAGTGAAGCTGTGCTTCGCTGAAACCTGCATCTTATGTGATTCTCACTCTGGGCTTTCTGTTTCCAAATATGACAAAGGCACTTACTTAAAATTCAAGTGCTGTTTGAAACCAAATCAAGAACAAAAGCAACAGCTGAGGGAAAAAACTTCTTGGTGGGTGGTTGCATGGCACCTTGCTTCTTTCCTCCCTGCTCTGGTATTTTTTTTTGACAGTGCTATTTCAGCTTTCAAAACAAAACCCTAGAAAGGCTTCCCTGACAGAAAAGCTCACCTAGATACCTATTTGTATGCATTAGACATTGAAAGTTATTGCAGTAGGAGTGTTTGATTTGCTTGACTTTTTTTAATCTTAAAAAAAAATAGTTTTACTTAACCAGCATTTGGATAGGCTACTAGTTCTGTGCATTTTTATTACTTCCCAATTGCTGTTTGACTGTAGCTTGAAAGAAATGATGCATAAGTACAACATATTTCCCATTTAAAAACTGTTAAAACCAAAGATAATTGATAAATATGTATATTTATATAAAATTAATAAATACTTAAATTTACTTATCAATCTGTAATAATTAGATGGGGGGGGAGAAAGAAATGAAAACTAGGATTAAATGAGACTTTTAAAATACAAATTCCCTGCTTCCTGCATAAATGTATCAGTTTAGCCTGAGATGCTCAAAATCATTTCTGTGAATAGGAATTTGACCCCCTTTTTGGTGAGCGTACAGGCAGTGGTGTAACAAGTTACTGCTTCCTAGCAAACATTTTTTTTATTTCAGGTAGGTTAGGAAAATGAGTCTTCTCAGAAAGGCCAAAGCTGTGATCCCTGTTGGAAACGATATACAGGAGCTTGCTTCTGATGCCCTCGATGTACGCCAGGGTGCTGGAGTGTCTCCTGCATCATCAGGGCCCTCCAAGAGGTAACACGATGTGTTGGGCACCCGTTGAAGGATGCCTGATCACTTGCACCGTGTGTTTTGGCAACCTCTCTCACATACACTTGCATGATCGCTAAGCATAAAGCAAGAAAAATGGCATTGGAGGTTGCTTGCAGAAGTTGTTGCCGTAGTCTTCTCACCACATACCCAAATCATAGCAACTCTATTTTTGGGAGCAGTTAATGAGGTTTTAGAAGACCCGCTTCCTCAAATTAAAAGGTTGAACTTTCCCAGCACAAACAAAAAGCCTCACGCTTTTAGTTCCTAAGTCCAGTGCGCTGGGTGCACTGCTATAGTAGAAAAGTCTGTGTTTTGGTATGGTTTGTTTTATTTAAAAGAAAAAAAAAATGCAGGAGGAAAGAAAGGGAAAATTTGAAGTAAATAGTAGGTTAAAAAATAGTTTCTGGTATCTTACACATATATATAAGATTAATTTAAAAAAAAATTATTTAATTTAGGAAGAATTACCCTGCAATCTGTTAGTTTTAGTCATTATTTCCTCCTAGTTTCAGTTTCTCAAGAATTCAGTTTAGGTGGGGGTAACTATGTCTGTATCTAAAAACAAGAGCTCTTTGCTTACTAAAGTAGTCCACAGTAAGATTTACTGATCTTCATAAATATTCCTAACAACTAGCTGCAAGCATGAACTTGGTGAAAGTAGCATCATCATAAAACACCATCTACCTTAATGTATTTTGACAATTATTGTAATTAATAAGTTCAGGAATGGGGGTAATTGTCTGTAAGGATAAATTTTGATGGGAATCTCAGTAGGCTTAGAGTTACGGTGATTTACAGCAGGGGAAGATTCAGTTCTGGGTTTTCAAATCAAGAACTGCAGGAATTGGCTCTGTTGGGATCTATGAACAACTGCACAGGTTCAAAGGAGATAGAAAGGCTGGGGATTTTTTAAAAGACTTTTTTTTTAATAATTCATTTTAAAGTATGTAGACATGGTAGCAGTTGTGCTGTCACTGTTGAGTGTTTGACAAAACTGGCATTTAATCAATATCCATCAAAACGGCACATGAATTTCAGCTATTTTTATGAAACAAAAAAGGTGACAGTCCTCTCGGACAAATGTGAACTTGAGTTTACAGTTTCTATAGTAATTTCTTTCCCTTTATAGCAGATGGCATAGTTCTGGTTTATAATTTCTTGTCTATTTTTGCCTTCTTCCAGCAACTGATGGTTCTACAAAGAAAGAAGAATTAAATGGAGGAAATGCAGCAGGTAACAAACCAAAGACTTAGGAGCCTTCATTAAGTGTTTTAGTGTTAACTGACATGTCTTTATTTTTATGTTAAACTGTGATACCATAGATTTAACATCCTTGGAACTAAATTAAGGCATGGAGTAGTGATACAGCTTTCCTAAGGTCATACATGGAGTTAAGAACTTGCCCAGCTATCCTGCGTTTTTATCTGATTATGTTGGTAACATGATCATCTTTTCCAGCTGTCGTCACTATTTTTAAATAGGTTTTGACATAGTCTGTCAATCAACTGCCTCTGCTCTGTGAATCAAAATACTTGTCTAAGAATGTTTAGATGTTTCCAGTCATGAAGTTAAGGACATGAATTCAGCGTATGTCTGTCTTTTACTCTCTTCTTCCACGAGACAACGTAATAGTTTAGAACTGGCAGCTGCTGACCAGGCAAGTCATCCTCCTTTCTTTTCTATATGCATGAGGTTTTGTAGAACACAACTTGTTAGATATGTCTGCAAATCCATGACAGTTTTTACTTCATAAAATAAATACCTAGGCCTTGCACAGCTGAATATCCATCCTCTCAGAAAAAACCAGAACTCAACCCAGCATTCTTTCCTTTGTTGCTGTCTCCTCATTACTCATCTCCCAATTCAGTAGCATGTCCCTGTCTTCTCTGTCGGGGGGCTCCCTCTCCTTGCTGTAGGTGGCTGTTAGCTCGCTCCATCTGAAATTATGCATCCTTTCTTTAGCTTAGTCTAAGACTTGTTACAGAATTGCCCAACTGCACACACAGAGCTAGCTAATGGACTCCCTCTAGTTTCTGTTCTGGGTGGTATCTTCGTATTTTTGCACTGTACCAAAATATAAATGTACATCATTTTATACAAAGGCCATTCCCATACTCTCCAAATATCTTGAACTTATTCCAGTGAACCCGGAACAATGTCAATTCACAATGACTCGTTGTAGCCCAACCTTTTAATCACAGTTTAAGACACATAACGCGTTTTCATACCTTTACTACCCTTTTTTGCTGTAGTTCTTTCTTTCAGCTGTACCATGACCTTAAGTTATCAATTGGCACTTTTTGATCTTTAATTGCCTCTTCAAAAGACAAAACACTCATGTTCCGTCATGTATTATCAATGTCTTCCATAGGAGTCACTGAACTTTAAAAGGTTATGGGAATCGCTCAGATTAATTTTGTGAAATCTTTTGGTTGGTACCTAACTATTCAACAGAGAGAATAAGACGACATTTTCACAGACAGACAGAATAACTGAGTTCTCAAATAAATGAATGACTTTTTTTTTTTTTTTTTTTTAAATGAAGAAAGTTTATTGCAGGTCTTTCTTTTACAATTCTAGTAGAAAGTATAGCTAAGAAAATGAACCATGACCAATTCGTAAGAACGAGCAAAAGAAAAGAATAAGCTGAATACATACTGTATTGAACTAAGCATTATGGTAAAGGTAAAACCTCATCTATCTGTGACTGCAGATTAAGGACAGCTGCTCCCCAACCCTTGTTTCCAGTGCCTGCACCAGGTGAATGGGGGATAGCACTGACAAACCTCTGATAGCTATTGATAGCAGCTATTTTTGTAGTAGCTTCTCAATCATCTTGCTCTAGAACTAGGAACTGCTCCATTCATCCCATCTTAGATAACATGCAGCAGACCTTCTGTTCACAGGTCCAAAATAATTTTATTTTATCTAGGTAGTCTGACCCTGGAGAAAGGTGTGGATGGGACACTTGTGGTAAGGATAGAAAATGGCTAGAACAAAAAGGCTTCCTTGACTCCAGTCTTTGTTACAAATAAATGTCCAGTGCTCATGTTTACATCTCAAGTCACTTTATTTAAATTCATATTACCTAAACACTACCCTGCAGCCTGCAAGTCCATTAACAAACTTGATGCAAAACCAACCATCCTTCCCTCTATCTCCAATGTTTGTCTCATGATATTTTACAGTTAGTCCACTAAAAATTTTTTTGTGAAAATTTGCCTCTTCAAGTTTAGTAGAAACTTGGCTAAAAACAGAGGCATTCGAATAGAAGGTGAATATAAGTTTTCTTCCCTTGTCTTCCTCTCCCGCTTTCTGAGAATCCTTATCAGACGAACAGAACGGGGCCTGCTTGGAGAGGTGAGGCCAGGTCACTGTTCATCGTCTCACTGCTCATACAAAAATATGGTTAGCTACACAATAAGTTAGTCTATTTAGAGCCCAAGGCTGTGTGAAATGCAGTTACTTAAACTAACACAGATAAAAATCATCTAACATTGCCAGAATCTTCTTTCCCTTACTGCTGTTCTCAAGAGAAGGGCAAAGAGCACTCAAAAAGCACGTTCACTCACCCGCTATTAGGAGATCAGCCTCCCGTGACAGAGCCTGCCTTGGGCTCGCCACGAGAGGGTGCACGCAAACTGAAAACAAGCTGTCATGTGAAATGAAGAGAAATCGTGGCGCGAGTGCAGGGCGCTTCAGTCGGATTTGGTTTCACCAGTCCTACGTGCCAGGCTGATCCCCAGCAAACTCGGGAGCCGCTGAGGCAGGGAGCGTGGGGGATCCGAGTGGCTCACAAGCAGCAGGGAAGAGGGGCTTGGACCCAGCCACGCGAGGATCATCAGCTGCAGCAGCAATTGTGGAAATTTTCTCCATTCCAGCTCTACCAGAGTCCTGACAACGCTTGCTGCAGAAAATCTGACTCTCTTTATCTAGAGCTGTGTTCTAAAAACAAACGAAAAAAAAAAAAACCCAAGGCAAAACATGAAAAGAGCAGTTAAATCAAAACCCTGTCTTAACTTAAGGGTTAAAACAAGCTACAAGACGTTAAGTGCATGCATTAGAGCCAGAAAAAAAAAGGAGAAGTAACATGTTAGAAATCTTATATACATAATTAATTGTAGTGTTTTGCGGTACTGACTTTAGAAAACATAAGGCAAACGTATCTTCCAGACACGGCTGTCATGATGGTGTGAGTTTAAAATTTTGTCTTGCAAGTCTGATGTGGAAAAAAATGATGGGTGGTTAAGAAGTGTATCATCTGTGAAAAAGACAGATGAAAAAACCTAATGATTTTTTCTACCTTAAAGAAAAGGGTCGGGAGCCGCTGAGGCAGGGAGCGTGGGGGATCCGAGTGGCTCACAAGCAGCAGGGAAGAGGGGCTTGGACCCAGCCACGCGAGGATCATCAGCTGCAGCAGCAATTGTGGAAATTTTCTCCATTCCAGCTCTACCAGAGTCCTGACAACGCTTGCTGCAGAAAATCTGACTCTCTTTATCTAGAGCTGTGTTCTAAAAACAAACGAAAAAAAAAAAACCCAAGGCAAAACATGAAAAGAGCAGTTAAATCAAAACCCTGTCTTAACTTAAGGGTTAAAACAAGCTACAAGACGTTAAGTGCATGCATTAGAGCCAGAAAAAAAAAGGAGAAGTAACATGTTAGAAATCTTATATACATAATTAATTGTAGTGTTTTGCGGTACTGACTTTAGAAAACATAAGGCAAACGTATCTTCCAGACACGGCTGTCATGATGGTGTGAGTTTAAAATTTTGTCTTGCAAGTCTGATGTGGAAAAAAATGATGGGTGGTTAAGAAGTGTATCATCTGTGAAAAAGACAGATGAAAAAACCTAATGATTTTTTCTACCTTAAAGAAAAGGGTCTACTTTTCTGCTTATTGTAGAGAGTAGGCAAATGACGTCTCATGAAGCTGACACAGTGGCAAAGATGTATCATTTCTGAATACTATACTTAAAAATCAGTTTAGTGGAGAAGAAAGTAGCAGGTTAAAATGAAAACTGGGAACTCCATAGTGCAGTAAGTGGATTATCTGGAGTATGTGGTATGTCTGCTGAAGCCGACAACTTTCATACCCTCTGAAGGATACTGCAAGTTATATTAAACCACAGTGTAAGGTTTAATTACCAGTGGAATGCTGAGGTGACCCAGAGGGAAATCTAGTAGCTCCTGTGTCAGACATATACGTCAAAATTGCTTTCTAAGACTCAGAGGGACAGTGTAATTGGTCTTGTTTCACAGTTTGAAGGCTGATACTGATGATTATAAATCCATTTACTTTGTAGAAGCTCTTCAAGTACCATTGGTGATACAGATTTAAGTTAATACAGATTTAAGTTAATACAGATTTAAGTTAATACAGATTAGTTAAGTTTTTTGTAACTTATTCAGTTATGTAGAACGGTGCAAGTTACACTTACTCTGGTTAGGTACAGCTTGGGCTTTCTACAGTAATCCACAAAGGTGTGGCACTTGAACTGAGGAGCAGAGCACAAATACGTGTTTCACCTTTGTGTCACCCCCTGCATACACATGTGTAAGCATTATATGACACTGTTATGTGCAATTTCATATTTTGAGTTGGGACGTTCTTGCTGTAAAGTAAGGTCAGGTGCTCTGCCTTTTCTTTAGCAATTTTTTTTTTCTGGTTGATTGCTCAGGAGGACTTGCTTTACTAACGTGAAAATTTCTATGTATTCTTAGTCAAGTTTGTCTAATATATTATTCACTGAAATATGTAGTTTTAGATACTGAAATAATTTTCTGATACAAGTTAAATTTAGCATGTATTTTTTTTCAGATGTGGTTTATTGCATCAAAGTCATTAAGGACAGCAGAAATAAGGTACTTACTTATCTTCTTTTTTTCCAAACTGATCATACAGCTTAGCAGTGAAAACAACTTATTTCATTATGGGGTATCCAAATACAAATTTCTTTTTTTATCAGGCTTGGCAAAGAGAGCTGGACTAGTATCTCTGATTTCTCAAATAGAAGAAAGACTTACAGAATTTGCAGGTATACGGAGGGTGGGTTGTTCTGGAGTCAGTCTGACTCCAGACTCTGCTGCTGAAAGTCTTCTATTTTGTGTAATGACGGGGCTGTGTGCTGGGGTAGGGGAGGTAGCGAGCAGCCTCATGATACGCCTCCTTCACGCCCCAAGGCCTTCCTCACAGGCTTTTTCAGACCACATTACTGAGTATAAAAGTTCCCAAAAGGAAAGGTTAAGTATTTTGAATGTAGATTGGTTTGGTTTAGGGGGGGTTTGTTTGGTTTTTTTTTTTAATAGAGTTACAAGGTCAGTCTAAAAGCGTACAGGTACAAGGAGAAAATCCAGTAGGACACAATTGAATCCTCTGCTGCTAACAACTGACTTTGCAAACGGAGCATGAAAGGAAATGACTGGCTGAGCTGTATTGAGGCCTTTGACATTAGCTATGACATGCAGTAGTTTTTTTTATCATTATCAAAGTAGCTGCTATGCTAGGATGGCTTTTCCTATTTTGCTTGCTGGAAAGAGAGTTGTGAATAAACAGGTTTGTGCTATTTCAGTGGCAGGATAAGTTATTTAAAAGGGAAAGGAAATGCTTTCAGTGCATGCTGATGGCTATTTTTCTCCTGTGCTGGCCTCACAGCAGCCTCTGATGGTTATCATACCTTGCACTACAATACTTACCTATGTAATGCGGTTTAGGATTATTATTTTTTGAAGATTGAAGAGGAGGCTTAATTTTACTGTCACGAAGTAAAATGTTTTTTCTTATTCTAGGAACTGATTACCTTCTGACTAGCTCTGTGATATCATAAAGGCTGAAGTGACAATTAAGATTTTTATTTTAAATTGAAACAATGCTTATTTCGGTGGGTTTGGGTTTTTTTTGGTTCTTTCTTCATAGGATTCCCATCTTTTTCTAATTGCTTTTGGATATTGCAAGATATACACATGCACAAAATTACTCCCAGGGGAACAGACCAAGATATGTCTGAGGAAGTAAAAAATAGCTAGTTAGATCAGTGTTTGCTAAGAATATTTCCAATGTTCATAACTTAATACAGAAAACATTTTTGTAAGTGTTTAAAAGATTTTCCTTTACTGTTTTTGTGTGGCTGTAAAGCTCTTTCCACTTCAGACTGGCTGAGTTATTTCTCCTTTCTTCTTGTTACAAATGGAGAACATGTATTTTTTGTGCAGCAGAACAAAGCATTGCAGTTAGTACGTACCATTGCCTTGGACCTACTCAGAGGAAAGCAATGCAGGCATTGGGAAAGGAGGAAAAAGGAAGGAAGCAAGGGACAGAAACTAGACTTATTTTAAGCAGAACTAACACAATTGCAACAAATTTACATTTACAGAACATTTTGAAATTGACAAAAAAAAAAATCAGTAATGAATTAACAGCGACATGCTTTTAGGGGCAGAAAGAGTCTCCTGTGCAAGAACACTGAAGTAGGTATGTGCAGTTTTACTTATCTGCCACATGATGGTATTATCTGCATTGGCCAGATGACAGTATTTGAATGAAGTGATGCTAAAAGGGATTCCATTAAATATGCAGGTGGACTGATATAGCAATGCACTGCAATACATGAGAATTACAACACTGTGCTTGTCTGAATCTGAATGTTTTTAAGCAATGAGTGCTAGCACAAATGAAGAACTTCTTAACATGAAGATAACTAAATTTCAATGCTCTAGATAAACCAGGGCAAGAATAACAAATTGGGGGCTTAACCCTCATTCGATTACAGTGTTTTGAACAAGAAGTTACTTTTCCCTTCAGCAGTAACTGGGAGCTGCATTCAGAAACAAATAATTGTGCATTTACATCCTTCCATACCTGTTAGAAGGAAATAAGGCAGGAAAAGGGAAAATGAAAAGTTCTAATGAGGCGTACTTTCCTGGCTGAAGGAATGTCAGTAGCTAACAGAATCAGAAAAAACCCACACCAATAAGAAGCCAGAAGCTACGCTGTGTCAGAGATCTGAGACAGGCTTAAGTGGCATGCAAGTTGGAGAGGGGCTGAGAGTTAGAATTAAAATTGCTCTTATTACATATAGCGCATTTTATACCATTTTTCTGCTTCAGGCTTATCCATAGTCTCAACAGTATAAAGAATGAAGCTCTGAAGTCCCTCTCAAACTGTCAAGTCAAACTGTCAAATGAAATGTAGACAACAGCATCAACCTGAAATCCATTTTCTGACTTCTCTCATTTTTATTCTTATGTTACCGCTTTTCCTACATTTAAATCTTTGGCCTATTTAATTAACATAAATGTATTTGCAAAAGCATATATGTATGCAGAAACATTATTTAAATTTACCTACTTTCAGATGATTAAAACAATTCTTTGTTAACATAAGCGGGCTGGACTTTGAGAGTAATTAATACTAATGGGGAGGGGTGGAAATCGCTGTTATGTTACTACCACAGATGGTTTTATTTTTCTTTTATTAACCAAAGATACTCTTTGTGTGCAGTGACCATCCTTGCGTTGGACAAGAACAGACCACAGGAAGAACAGAATGGCCGTTCAATCTCTGTAGCAGCTGCATATTGTCTGCAAAAGTGACTGGCCAGTCACAAGTACAGTTCTGAGTACTGATAACAGTGAACTCCGTTTCTTCTACTGCGATTCACACATCTGCCTTCTGGAATTACTGTTTATGTAAGTGCAGCTATAGGTCATAAGTGTTGCTTTGTATGCTTTGAAGAAAGTTCCCCATTAGGGAACTGAAAAAAACATAGCAGGCGTTAGATTGGGACAAAATTAATGTGGTAAACATTCAGTACTACAAAGAAAGTTTCTGAAATGGAGTCTGGTTTCCCAGCAAGTGTGATGTTGAACAACAGTGTGCTCAAGATGAAGCCATACCTGGTCGGGCAGAGGGGAAGAGCCTACATAACTGACTAGGTGTTCAGTATGATAAAAAAATTACAGTTTTTATAATTAAAGATTTCAAATCATTAATAAGCTTCATTTCAACATACAACTACTTAGTGTTTACATGTTTCTGTTTGAAAGTTTGTTTTTATAGCTTAGCTAGCACACTGCCATAGACTCGGTTGCTCTCAAGCGATGATGAGACAATCCGCACTATACACAAATAAAGACTAGAATTAGAGACTATTCTAGCTTTGCTTTTGCTATTCTTGCACCACGCATGCTCATAGAGCACTGTTAGGAAAATATGCAAAGTATCGTATCAATGTATGAAAACGTTCATTTCTCTTACCATGATGACAGAAACCCCAGCAGATGTGTTATTTTGCTTGGGTAGGGTGTTATTAAAGTGCTGCTTCAGTTTACCTGTTACTTCAGCTTGCATATTATTCTCCTGGGAAGCATCATCCTGTGTAAGAATAAACACAATATTCAAATTAGGAGGGGGGGGGGAGTGTATGTTTTAATGTAACTGAGTAAAAGACTTTTTTTATTATCCTCAGGTACTTCCTGCTTTTTAATGTGAAGTAACTGTTCAGACAGGCATGAATACCTCTGCCACATGAGATATGGGTTAAGACAAACTACAGAGGAAAGGAACGTAGCAACCACTGTTTTATATATGAACTTCTATTTCTTAAAATGCCATGTGATGCTATATACTTTCAGTCCATTGATTTGTCCCACAATTATAAGCTGCAAGTTTGATGCAAGCATGCTAAAAATAACATGCTTGAAATAATGTAAAAAAGCGTATTTGTCATTTGGCTTTCTTTTAAATCAGCATTTTAAATACTCCATCATGTCATAAGTATGGTCATGCTATACAGTACCATAAATACGTTTGAGAAGAGCTGTTATGCATAGACACACTTGTTATAGTTGTCTTCTCTTGTTTGATGGAACTCCATAGATCATATTCAGCTCCTCTTTTAAAATGTGTGTGGAAATAAACATTGACTATATACATGTAAACACAGTATTTGTTAATAATGAACTGATTTTAACTTAATAAGCAATGCGCTTTGGTGTTCCCCATTGCTGCTGACCAAAAAGATGAAGGACCTGGCAGCCATCAGGTTAGTGCCTATGTTAAATTAGATATTTTATGTGCTAATTTTATTAGCAAAATTAGAGATTGTACTTTATTAGCAAAATTACAGGTTGTACTTTAAGTAGCATTGCAGCAATTGAGGTGCCAATGTGCACAACAGTGCTTCCACAGACGCATTTTTGAGATGACTGTTTTCTAGGGTGAGTGTGAAATAACAAAAAAAGATGCCCCAGTCACACATCTGCCTGTTGTGTTATGTTTAAGCACGGTTACAGCAACCCCTAGCACCTTCTAATTGCAGTCAGCAAGTGATACATACCCTTCGCTCTATTCTTTCAGAGCACAGAAGCTGTCAGATGTGAAGCTAACTTCAGACTCTTGCTGTTCTCTTTTATATGGAAATGGGAGTAGTGGTTCAATAAACAGAAATGGGCACAGAAGAAGTGTATTGTTGCGTATGACAACTACACTTTAATGGTTAGATTTACAGATTTTAATATCAAATTAGAGACAAGTAAAAGGTAATTTACTCACTGACACCCAGGGATGGCTTAGGATCTGTGCTGCTGTATATCGGGCTTCAGCATTCACATGTAACATCAGGCTAATTAACTCCTTTATTTAAAAAAAAAAAAAAAAAAAAAAAAGAGTTTAAGGAGAGTGGAGAAGGACATTATGACAGAAAATATTGTGGCATTAAGTTCTTCTCAGTGTAATTTCCTTGCTACCTGGGGTGAAAGAGAAACAGCTTACACTGATAGCAGAACCAGTGATACCAGTGTGATTTTAGCGATATAAAAAATTTGCCCTTTAGGTTTCGAGTATGCTGGACAGCAAATTTTATACCATATTCATGTTTCACCAAGTCTTCTGAAACCAGGTGAAAAGGAAATAAATAAAAAAAATCAGCTATAATGTTCCAGTTTGTTCTCTGTATATTCATGCAGGTGCCCAGAACGAAAACAAACCTGGGCCAGGTGAGATCCTGTATGGGCAGTGTACATGCACACAGTCACAGTACATAAAGAGCATAAATGTTAGGCAAGAAACTGCATCTGAAATTCAAGAAACCGCTGAAATTATTTGAAAACTATGATCTCTTCTGTGTTGCTCCAGAAGAATAAAAGACATTTAACTCATTTAATCCACTAAGGATCACCTGGTATAGAAAAAAAAGCAGATGGGTAGAAAGAGATAAATACTAAAGGAGGCTGAGGGGAGACCTTATCGCTCTCTACAACTACCTGAAAGGACGGTGTAGCAAGGTGGGTGCTGGTCTCTTTTCCCAAGTGACAAACGCTAGGACAAGAGGAAATGGCCTCAAGTTGTGCCAAGGGAGGTTTAGATTGGATGTTAGGAAAAATTTCTTCACCGAAAGGATTGTCAAGCTTTGGAACAGGCTGCCCAGGGAAGTGGTTGAACACCCATCCCTGGAGGTATTTAAAAGACCTGTAGATGTGGCACCTAGGTACATGGTTTAGAGGTGGACTTACTTGGCAGTGTTAGGTTAATGGTTGGACTCTATAATCTTAAAGCTCTTCTCCAACCTAAACAATTCTACGATTCTATTCTCTAACAACATACTTCACTGGTTTGTGAACCAGCGAAGTTATTTAGTCTGTGTAAGTAAGTCTGACGTGAAAGGTCACCTGTAGTACCAAGATTGAGAGCCTTGTTTATTCAGAATGCATGTCTGGAAGAGTGTGACATGACTGGAGCTTGGCAAATGTTGGCAAATGGATAAACAGCCATTGGGAAATGCAGAAAAAAATGCAACTTCCATTCACTGAATAACAAATAACCTCCACTTGCTAATTAGAATCCTCAGATGTAATTCAGAACACGTTAATTAGCTTGGGAAGTGGGACTTAAAAGTTGGAACCCTTATCCTACAGACACAATAATTTTAAACACAAATGGCAATGATAACACAAGAACTATTAGCAATGGCAAATCAAGCCCAACTTGAAAAGTTCTACTAACTGGCTCAAGTAAAATAGGAACAAATTATGTCAATTGCATTCAGTCCACAAAGCAACAATTTTTCTTTTTTAAAAGAGTGATAGGAGGGAAAAAATTCAGAGACACTTATTTTACAGCTGAAGCACTGAACCTGCTATAATAGTCCATCATTAAGTAAACTGAATAGCAAGTGATGTTCTCTGAATGCAATTGGCGTTCTGCTGCACTTACTCACTCAGACAATAACATGATGGCCTGCAAAACCTGAGCTTTCATCAAGAACTGCCTAACTAACTCACTAAAAAGGCACCGCAGCTTGAAGAGTGGGTAAGAGTCTGTCCCGATCTTCTATTCTCCTTTTCCAACAGAGCACAGTCTTCTCACTGCCTTGTCAGAAACACTATTTCAGGTTGGAAAACAGATCAGTACCTTTGCTGAATCAGTGATGTTATCCCAGTAGGGAGAAGGAAATTCCAGCTTCCCAACAAGTATCTGATCAAAGAGGTCTTCCTGAAGGTTGTTTTCACTGTAGAACAGCATAATGAGAAAGATCATGAGAAAGAAGTCAATTTGTTATGTGAATTTTTAACTTGATTTGGGGATGGAACAGAAATGATGATGTTATATCAGCTACTATAAATGCATAATTTGCAAGCTTATATAGTGGCAGCACTTCTGAGGAGTTTGCCATAGTTATGCTGCCAGGAGTGATGAGAACAGAAAAAAACTAATATATTGAGGTGAAAGGGCTTCCACTGGAATAGAGACTGCATAGCTAATATACATGCACAGGAAAGGTGATTAAAAAATCAGTCACTTGCTAGTGACTATCTAAAGGACCTGCTACAGAAAGCATACAACAAGGGGAATAAGTGTTGTGAAATGAGCCTCTTCTGTTAAACTATCACAACAGGAGAATTTCCAGAAATCCAGAGAGGAGATACGGAAGACACATGATAAATTTAGTTTACTGAGTATTGGCAGGCTACTGATATTGAAAGGATAAATACTTTTCTATCAAAACCGGTATCATGAATATTCAGGAATCAATGCCAGAGGGTTTTCTGGTTTTAAACCTGTTTATTGGCCCTAGGCACTGTGAACATCGGCCCAACCTATTTCTGTAATGAACAATTTACCTCTTGGGTTGGTTTTGCAATAAATATTTATTAACCTTGGTTAAGACCCAGTTCTAACAGCATAGTATGGACATCCTCCAGGCCCAACCCCCAAACTCTATTCAAAGTAATTGCCATTTGTTTGTATAATATATCTTTCAGAACATGTTTTCAGTTTTAAAACTTAACTAACCACATGCAAAAACCAAATACCTAAACTAAATGATAATTTTTCCATTGACAATTGTTTGTATTTTATTCTTTGCAAAATATTCTTATTCAGTCTGGTCATTTTTAGTTAAAAACTAAGTATTTTGCTGTAAAAATGGACAAACAGACTGTGCACAAAGCTTATATGTTAAGAAAGAGGAGAATTCCTATTAAAATGTGCTAATTCTTTCTCATGCCCTGGCAAACAAAATTGCCTAGGCACAAAACACAGCCATTTGATTTTTTTAGTAGAACTCCTACATATTGTGACACAGAGTAGCAAGAATCATGTTTGAAAAAACTCCATCGCTCATATGACACTCATCAAAAAAGATTAAAAAGGTTAAAAATGCAACATAAGCAAATTCTGCCCCTCACCTTAGTTTACCATTAGCCTTCACCCCCAGCACTACAAACCAGTAAGCTGCTGTGTCCAAACAGAAACACTAGAGGGCAAAGTACACACGTTCATTGAACTGGGATGCACACCACAGACAAAAGGAAAAGCAACTATGCCCTCACACCTCTATACCCCTGCACACAGCAGTAAACCAGTTGCTCGCTTAGAAAAATAAGTAAATAAAATTGATCCTAAAACCCAACAAGACGGACAAAAAGAACAAAAAGGTAAAGAAAATGTGTCAATCTAATCAATTTAAAATTGATCCTAAAACCCAACAAGACGGACAAGTGAAAACAATTTTTAAAAAAAGAACAAAAAGGTAAAGAAAAATGTGTCAATCTAATAAATTTTTTTTCCCCAGGATGCCTCCTTCACTGAGATAGGTAAGACTTGCTCAGAAAGAACCTGGCTCTTTACTGTTTTTCCCTTTGACATAGAGGGACACTCACCTGCGAAAAGGTGGAAATCCACATAACAGTATGTATGTGATCACACCTGCAGCCCAAATATCCACCTTTAAGCCGTATCTGAGAAAACAAGGCTGTGTTACTTGTGCTGGATTAAAAAGTCATTCCAACCAAACAATTGATTAAATTTACAAGAATATATATTGAGAATCTGTTCTAAGTTACTTGCTGATGATGTGGGAATGTATTTTTTACCTAACCATCATTTTACCTGGCATCTTTCACAGTCTTTAGAAACCATGGTAACCTCATTTTTCATTGATTTTTTGTTTGGTTGGTTGGTTGGTTTTTTTTATAAGCCCCAAGGCTCTCCAGGGTCTTCTGAATATACTCAGATTAAATTCAGTATCAAGGTTTCCCAATCCAGAAGCGCTAATGATAAAAGACAAGGATGTGCTTGCTTAGTCCCCATATTGGAGTAATGATCTCTAAGGTTATCATGTGTTGCTAAGCAACAAGAAAGATACCAATTCTCCAGTCTCTTGAGGGAGTAACACAGGGAAAAGGAACTGCGCTTTTCTTTTAAAGCACAGAAATTAAAACACTCGAGGTCAAAAAGAGGTCTTTTTCCCTATTCTTTTCTATCCGGTAGATTCAGTTTGTCAAAATCTAACACATGCAGATGAAGTGCCCTTTGATGTTTGAGCTCACTGCAGCTGTGAAATATTTCTCAATATGACAGATGCACTGAACAATGCTTGAAACAATACAACAAACCTCCCTCCATTAGGAAGACCAAATTCAGAGTGGTCACAGCTATGGCAAGAGTCAGCTAGGATGGAATGGAGGTCTAATAGGTCTAAAGGGAAAGATGACGTGTGAAATTCTACCATTTTATAAAATTATTTTGTATTTATGCAACCACCTGTTAAATACAGAAAAATGGGTTTGTTTAATTAAACCAACGGTTACCAAGTAGCATGCGTCACCCAAACAAGGTCACTTGAATCAACATGAGCTAATCAGCCCTGCTCTGAGAACAGGTTTAGACTAGATGACCTCTGGACTCTCTTCCAATATAAATTATTCCATTTCTAACATGAACACTATGTTTTGCTTGTCTTTTTTTTCCCCAGGCAGCTGCCACAGCTGGTACAAGGGGCTCTGAATGGTGAGGTGAGGCAGGGAACACAAACCAATAAGCTCCACTGCACCAGTGCTAGTCCTAGGGAGATGGTAGGAGGCCAAAGTAAATTCTGGGAGCAGGGTGAGTGAAGCAACTGGCCTCTCAGGAATTGAACTGTGCCTGTTTTCTCATAGGTGGTTTGGTTACAAAAAGATGGAGGACCATCCTGTTAGAGCATTCTAGTTCTTACAACAGTTAGGAGCTACCTGCCAAAAATAACTGATTACAAGACCTACATCTTAGTCAATCATCCTCACCCTGTCTCTGCAATGATTTCTGGAGCCACATATGTGGGTGTACCACAGACAGTATATAAAGGTCCTTCAACCACAGTCGCCAGTCCAAAGTCTCCCAGCTTCAAAGACTTGGTTCCATCTGGATATTCACATACCTAGAATCAGCAAAATAAAAACAGAATGAGAAGGAGAACATCTACGGTTTTTAAATCCCTTAATTTGTTTGGAAAATAATAATCATCACACTGAGAATGTAGGAAAAAGACATAATTTCCACAACCCTGTAGAGAAAGAAGAGAAAAATGGTATGACCATTGATTGCCACTGGAGCTAGTGTTCAATGGAGCTGTCTGCCAGCTATGTAGGTCAGACCATGATGTAGCCTCAAGCAACTAGAGGCAGGGAGGAAAGAAAACCCAATCCCAGAATGCTGACAAGTTGTAAATATAAAGAAAAAGACAATAATATAATTCCATTTGATTGGGAGGTGGAATTTAAAATGGGATTGGCAGCTACAATCAGATTTGTTTAACATCTTTCACTAACTTAGCATAAATCTAGTCAGTTAGCATACTGGGTATTTCATAGGCAAATGTCTTCCCTAAGCCTAGTCTAGGCAAGTCCAGAACAGAAATGAGAAAGCTGACTGAGAAGTGTTTAGGTTTCTGTGCAGACCCAAGTGCACCTTACCAAAAGCCCCGTAAAGAATCTAGCACATTTTGTTCGGAGTAATTTTGTTGATGAAAGAAGCTAAATTTTAATAGAAAGAAAAGTGTTATATGACAGTGATAACAAGAGCAAATCAAACCAGACAAACAGCAAAGGAAACCTCTCTAATAAATTAATCTTGGTTTTGTTCTTAGAGTAAAATGTTTATGTTAACATGATTTCAACAGAATCTAGTTTCTAGAATGCAGAACACCAGAATCTCCAGAATGGCTAAATTTGGTTTCCTCAAACAACTGAATACTGCTAAGGCGTCAATACTTTCCTTCATTCCCCTGTGTAATTCGTATCGTTAATGGAAACAATTGTTCTCCTTGATATACCACCTTCATATCTGCTATTGCTCTTAGAGATTGTATTTTTAAATGCATGACTAGCAAAGAGAATGTAATTCAGACAGATGGATGACCCTGTGCAAAAGAACTAACTACTTGCAATTATAGGTAGCAATTGATGGGAATTATTTGCATTTACATTCAATACCAGTATGTTATCTTAACATTCTGCCACTGTCAATCACAGTGAATAAGATTTGCATCTGTTGAGTAATCTCTTTAGGCTTTCTAGGCAGAAAGGACATTTGTGCCTATTTATAACTCATTCAATCACTAATGAGAGCTTAAAATTTCTTTGGCCTGGCTGTGTTTGAACATGCACTGATAATAACTAAGACTTCCACCTCCATTTTCTTTCTCTGAAGTGCCATGTTGCTGTGACTACATTTTCCAGGAGGAGCCCCTGCCCTTCCTTTTGCTAAACAATCTAATTTATTTGAGGGCTTATTTAAATTGCTAAACACTGCCAGTGGAATTAGTTGGGAAAGAATTGACTATTAACTGAAAAATATTTTCAGCTTATAGCCCTATCCTTGTAATAGGTCAAAATCCATTCTAGGATAAGCCATGACTCCTACTCTAGATGCAACCTCATTAAACAGGACTGACAAACACCACAGAAGGCTTTAAGAAATGCTTACCAAGTGTTGATGAAAGCTGCAAGCTTTCCTGATGACAGGGGCTCAAGCGGGGGAGATTATGGCCCTGTTTGTTCAGTGCATGACATGTAATATCTAATACCCAATATGTTATATGTAAGTGTAACCTCTGTGTATAACCAAGGTAGCACACTGTTCCCATTCTGCAAACTGTAGTCTAAGCAGTTCCCAAAGCAGACTTCATGGTAATTCTTGTCAACACAGTTATTTTATGTCTCTGCTGAAAACAAAAGTAGTCAGTCCCCTAGGACAAAATAATGTATGTACAGAGTTAATTCATGGCTAGAATACTGGTAAATCATCAGAAAGATGTTCCTACTATGACAGTGAAAGAAAAAAAAATTGCTTGAGATAACCATATGATCATTAAAAGAAATGGCACTCAGCCCACCTTTTCTCCCACTTGCAAACTATAATAAATAATTCATTGATGTAGCTTTAAAATTCATTGTTTTGTGAGACAGTACTCCTGCTTATCCAAATGGCAGCCAATCAAAATGTAAATAAAGACAGGTCTAAGGACAGGTTTGAGCACAGCTCACTTGGGTTATGGTGATTGCCATCTCATGGCAGAAGATTTACTTCATACATACTTATTATAAATTAATATTCCTACTGTTCTCTGCTCAGCTCCTTGATATTTATATACAAGCATTTGCATTAATGAGAACAAAGTAAGAGAAAATATTAGAAAATAAATGGGACATACCAGGAGATTTTCTGGCTTGATGTCTCTGTGCACAATGTTGAGACCATGAAGGTATTTGAGTGCACTGGCTAGATTGTAGACCATTGCACTCCCATCTCGCTCTGTATATTTTGTAGAAGAAGTGATGGCATCGAATAGATCTCCTCCCTAAAGTAACAGAAAGATAATAGATCATTACATGAAAAATAATTAAGATGATGATATTTCATAAAAAAGCCATGTAAAATCTTCCTTCACAAACGGCATGCTCAAATGCCTGTTAAACAGCAAAAACAATTACTTTGCAGAAAGACGATCTTGTCACCAAGATACTAGACCAGGACTTGGGTCATCTACATTAAATTCTCAGCTGTACTCCAGGCTTCTGGTGTCTGTGTTTGGGCAAATCACAGCTCTTCTCTCTGTCTTGATATCTTTGATCACTCATTTATATTACCTACAGGTACAGGCATACAGTTTGCCTTTTCTTCATCTTATCAATATAATACCTTTACATAGCAAAGAACAGCCCTCATTCTGAGTAAAGCCTAAAGTAATATAAATCAACACAATAACAAAAAGCCTGATGTAACAAACATGCAGCAATTGACATCAACTGCAAATTGGAATTTCTGTAGATATTGCAGAAATATCAAATAAATATAGCTGAAGAGGACAAACAACACAAGCGTGATCTTTTCCTACCTAAACGATTCTATGATTCACCAAAGTGTAGAACCTACAGGTGATTTCTGAATGTGCCAGTTGTGCAGTCTCTGATTATGGATGCCCTATTCCTCTTGGAATACATAACAACATGTAAGTGCGTTACTGATGTAGAATTTCCTATGGATGCCCTATTCCTCTTGGAATACATAACATGTAAGTGCGTTACTGATGTTGAATTTCAAGTCATTGCAACAAATTTTATGTGGGTGTCTCTATGATGGTTACCCTGGATACTTCTGTAGGAGTGATCTGTCTGAGCT